CCACAACGCCCGGCTATTTTTTTGGTTGCAGCTGTCATTGTTGTTTGGCAGGCCCGGGCCGGATTCGAACCTACCACCTTGGGTGTATGTGGCTGGCACCTTAGCCATTTGAGCCACAGGTGCCGAGCCTTATTATTTATTTTTGAGGCAGAGTCTCACTATGTCACCTTTAGTGGAGTGTCATGGTATCACAGCTCACAGTAGCCTCAAACTCTTGGTCTTAAGCAATTCTCTTGCCTCAGCCCCCCAAGTAGCTGGGACTATAGACGCCTGCCGCAACGCCCGGTTAATTTTTGTTACAATTGTCATTGTTGTTTAGTTGGCCCGGGTCGGGTTCAAACCCACCAACTTCAGTGTATGTGGCTGGCACCATAACCACTGTGCTACGAGCACTGAGCCTCAGCTATTTTGTTGTTGTTGTTGTCGTTGTCATTGTTGCCTAGCAGGCCCCAGCCCAATGCCCGGTACATGTGGCTGGCACCCTAACCACTGAGCTATGGGCGCCAGGCCAGTTCAATTAAATTTTAGAAGTGTTTTTTTCCACATGATATGACACAAGTACTTTATTCTAACCTGGAGCATTTGGAACCAGAAGTTGACTTCAGTTCGTTTGTGTCGCATAGGCAGCTGGTGAGGGAGGATGTGAGCAGCAGGAGACTTCCCTCATCAACCTCCCATTGCCGTCACCCTACTTCTGAGTTCTCTGGGCCATACTAGGTAATGGAGGGGCAGGGCCAGAGTGGATCCAGCCAAGAGAGCTTGTGGGATTTGGATAAAGTTCCTCTTTTCTGCAGTACTACCTAGTGGTCATTGTTAGTACTTCAGTGAGATTACTCTAATGTTTGGAGTCTTCACTAAATCCTGATGTGTCTGCCACTCCTAGTAAGTATAGGTTTGGTTTCACCCTTGTTATCAGGTAAATTGTTTTCATGCCCCTTTCTTTGAATTATTCCACTGACTAATAAAAAGCTTAACTTTGTGACCATAGAAGCAAAGGACTAGAAAGAAGAGATTATAGTCCCAGCTGCTATCACTCTGACCTCAGCCTGTGCTCAGCTGGCCCTGCTGCTGCTGCATTTCCCAGACCTCTGAACCTTAAGCAAAGTCGTATGAGGAAGAACCAGACCCCAGGGGAAGCAAACCCTGGGCTGCTTTGGAGTCTCTATCTTTTTTCTGCTTCACCAGCCCTGAGGGAATCATGTCTTTCCTGTCAGTAACATGGCCAGGATTTCTAATAGGAGGGAGGAACAGTAGGACATAGACCAGTAGCATTCCACAGCAGCCTGTGGAGAGAGGCAGGGAGTAGCGGAAAAGCTCCTTGTTCTCTGCTCTCTTTAGCCAAATTTCAAGGACCATCTGATCAAAGAGGACTATGTAATGGAAACAGTGCTTCTGGCTCGGCGCCTATAGCTCAACCGGCTAAGGCGCCAGCCATGTACACCTAAGGTGGCGGGTTCGAATCCCCA